CTGTTATCACCTGTAGATAATAAAAAGCTACTCATTAGAAACCATAAACAAGAAAAAGCATCATCATTATATTTATTGTCAACATTGTGATTGATTATACCACAATCATCGACTTTAATAGGGCTAGCAGTATCACTACTATCAAATTGTGATTGATGTCAAAAATAGGAGCCCAATAATAGAATGACTGATAGGAATGAAGAGTGAATGTGACTCACCTAGATCAAAAAGCAACTTTGAGAAAACATTTATTAACACAAGAAATTTCATTATGACTACATACCAATACACATTCAGAAATCAAACTTGATTAATAAGTATAATACTAAATAAATTATATTTACACAATTTATGACCTTTTTGCTGCTTCCAGGGAAATTTCCTCTTCTTCTCATCTCCACATAGCCTCTTGTCAACTCTTCTGCAGCTTCATCTGATAACTTTGGATGTATATGTTTTCGAGCATAGCTCACATAAGCAGTTAAAATTGGAAGGTCTATAACATCGTGGTCAGAATTCTGCAAGCAGAAGGCAAAATGGGAAGATGAACAAGTGAAATTACAAATTCCTAATTGGAAAAGAGAATTAGAAAGTAAAAATTTAAACCTCAGGATTTTCAAAGTGTAATGCCACAACGTGCTTTGCAAGGCGCCTGTCTGTCTGCTCATCAGCCTTGTCAAGAATTAAATAAATCAAATCAAACCTGGACAAAACAGGCCTTTATGTCAGCAACACTGTTAATCCCAATTAAAAAAAAAAAAACCCCCAATATTTCTCCATATCATCACATTTTTAGACTGTTCAACATTGACACCATTAGTAGGGGTGGCAATGGGACGAGGCTCGGCTCTTATACCCGAGCTCGTGGCTCATTTGTATAATCTAGGGTTGAGCTTGGCTCGTGAGCTCATGATTTTTTTTTTTAAATAGATAAAATATAAACACTCCTCCTTTATTCGGGTTTGGGACCGACTACTAAAATTTTGAATAGGCAGAGTTAAAAATTGAACACGAACAACTTATAACGTATATATTTTTTAAAGAAAATTAAAATATAGAATAATAAATTCTGATTAATATGGTTAAATTAAATATCATTTACCTGACGACATGCAATTTCGATATATTTATCTTGTAGTCGAAAATTAGTGTCCTGTCAATCTTTCACGCACATTAATGCTTCCAAAATATATTCTTTCAATATGCTCCTAACATCGGACAAAACCCTCTTTACTTGCACTAAAAAAAGAATCCGAAACTACAGTGCTAACCGAATGTGTCAGTCAGTCTTTTTGCAATTGCAAAAACTACTTACCATCATTGTTCATAACTTCGCCATAAGTCAATAACCTCTTTGGAACTTTTTTTAATTGTTTTGTTGATAGGCATATTATGATCAAAGTAATCAATTAATTCAACAGACAATGTATTTGAACTTGCCTCCAATGTTTGATATGCAAAAGACAAAGTATTACGAGATGAACCTATTGCATTTGCATCATATCGATACGTGTAAACGTCTTCGAATAAAGTAAATATTTAAGCGTCATCTTCTTCAATATCGGTGGAAAGAATAGGTGTAGAGGATACTCGATTAATATTTATAACCATTTGCTCTATATATAATTCGTATGTTTTACATAAAGTTTGCTCTAAATTTCTATAAGTGGTAAGTGTATTAAAAGTTAAAGCTCTTGAAATTTAATCAATTACATATTTAGTTTCCGATAAATTATATCGGAGGTCTATGATGCATGCTAAAGGAAATAACATGGGTAAATCTTCCCAATATTTTCTGAACTTTAATTTCATAGAATATATAATCACACTTAAATCAGGGTCTTTATATTTATGAAATGTCCTTGTAATTATATAAAGATGTTTAAGCACCATACAACTAGTAGTATAGTAAACTTCAAATAAAATATTTGTAGTGTTATGAAAATTTGTCAAAATTTTTAAGCTAAAAGCCAATCGGATTCATTCAAAATAGTGTCGTCATCGTTTATGATATGCCTATTGTTATAAAACTCCGTTATTAAATGTTCAAAACATTCGCATGACTTTAATAATAAGTGGAGTTTCATCCATGACTTACGTCGCTAACAAATATATTAGGCATTCGTCACCCCAAATTCGGCACAAATTCCCTCAAATGCTTTGTTAGCGATGTAAGCAACAAATTTCCTCAATACTATTTTTAATTAGCGATGTGAGCTCACCCCTCTAGTATACAAACAAGCCACGAGCTCTACTCGGTCTGGCCACAAAAATTAGATGGAGATTAATTGAAGAGCTTATAGCCTCATAATACTATGCTTTCACCCACTAGAGAAACTTTTACCTGGACAACAGTGTAGGAGGAAGGTGTATATTATCAATCACTGACAACCGAGGATTGTATCGTGATCCAATTGGATTTGCACAAGCCAATACTGAAGTTCGAGCATTAAGGGTAGCAATTATCCCTGCCTTTGCAATTGAAACAGTTTGTTGCTCCATTACCTGAAGAAAGAACAATTTTAAATGAGATTAGAACAATCAAAAGATAGTGGCAACTTGATGGCACAAATGTGATGCTGTGGGAACTCATATTTTCTACTTCATATCAGGTAGCGTTATTTCATTAGTTTTCCTGCCTCAGTAGTTTAAAATACAACAAGCAAGAGTTGATTAATGAGAAAAGGAGAAGGATAGATGTTTAGATTTTCACCTCATGTAACATGCTCCTTGCATTATCTGACATTTTGTCAAATTCATCAATGCAGCAGATCCCTCTGTCACTCAGAACCAAGGCCCCACTTTCCAGAACCTACACAAGTTATTTTTCAGTAAGACCGATATTTCCTGAGGTTTCAATGCTATTGAATAAAAAATGAACCCAATATTTTTAAGCTCATACAGTTTCCCCAGTCTCAGGATCTTTGGCAACATATGCAGTCAATCCAACGGCAGAGCTTCCTCGCCCACTGGTGTATATACCACGAGGAGACAGTTTGTGTATGTATTGGAGCAGTTGAGATTTGCTCGTTCCAGGATCACCAACAAGAAGAATGTTGATATCTCCACGGAAGCTAGCCCCAGAAGGCAACTTCAATGCATTTCCACCAAAAAGCTACGTGTGATTCAACCCAACAAGATTTAAAAATTATAATTCAAACAAGCTTGACATATCAAGCTTAAATGTACATGAATCAAACAGAATTTCAATGACTGTAAAAAATTGGCACCTGGCAAAGAAGGCCTTTCTTTACATCATCCAATTCCCATATGTTTGGTGCCAAAGACCTAGTCAGCCTTGAGTATATATCAGGCCGTTTAGATAGCTCCTTTAATAGCTCTACCTGCAATGTTGAACAGGAATCTCAAAAGAATAAAATTGAAAACAAATTTCTTTTGTATTGAAGAAGAAATACGATACAGTACCTTGTCTTCATAGTCAACAGAAGAGTCATTATCATTTCTACTTGCTCCATCTTCAGTTTCCATTTGGTCTTCCACATGCATTCTTGACTTGTCAGTCGTCTTTAAATGAAGACAGTCAATGTAAGTCTGAAAAACAAAAGAAAAACGCATTTCTAATTATCGCACATTATTTTCACCTTGGAGTTACACAAGTCCACGAAACACAACTCTGGCATCATTGGAGAACCTAAAAGGTATCCAAGGAGTAATAGGTGCTTGCCTTGAATATTGACTTTACAGTCCTCTGTGTTTGCCCAATTCTGACAGTCATAGCCCGGTAAATTCCAGTAACCTAAGAGTAAAACTAGCACCTTAGATCAAAATACAACAAAAGAAAAACTACAGATTTTTTGTACATTAAGACAAATATAATTATGCATGGTCTCACCTCAACTCTGTCACCTGGCTTGCCAGCATCCACTAGCTTATCGTGCATCAACAAACTTACCGTATGAGGTGTCCCTCCTTCCGGGATCTCATTTGGTGTTTCTTGAAGTCTAACAATTTGTTTATCAGCAAACCTAATTTTTGAACAAAATCAGCAAATGGAATGTTTTAAGTTGTCAAAAATTACAGGGGAACACGTAGTTTATGAGGAATTGGCTGCACTCAAAAGGAAAACGCCAAAACTTGAACATAAATTTGAACAGACATTTTTCAATTGCACTGATTTTCTGTGGACTTCATATATATAGGTATGAAGTTCTCGACCTGTTGGCATGATCAGCATCTGTGTGGTTTTTTTTTTAACAACTAGCTAACTGCATCTTTGGATTTCCATAGATACACACTCCTGAACTGACTTAGCAAAATTAAATCATTACAGATAGATATAATCGACACTAAGAAGCTATTTCAGCAAACCCAGTGACCAGATTTTGAATCTATCAAGTATCACGATGATTAAGAAAATAGCATCCACATCAACTTACAGATACAAAAGTCGTCATAAATTAGTCAAAAGAAAGCATATGTATCATTTTGGTCAAGCTTCATTCTTCTAACAAATATCTCCACCATAACTATTTAGATGAAGGATCAAAATTAAAATCTAGATAAATTAATGCATTACCTGCACCTATTGTGAACTAGGGTCATAGAGTTTTTCGCAAGACACTCTTGTTTCCCACAAATAGTGGGCTCATTGATTCTTCCTGAATAGGAGGCCAATGTTAACAATTAGAAATTTAATTAGACACACCTAATAAGAATGACATGGGTACTATGAGAAGCAAAAAATCAAAGGGAAAAGTCCATTCTTAATTACCTCTATCAACGACAATTGGGTCAGAGTAGTATCCACACACGAGACATCTAAATACAGCTTCCCTGATCTCAGGAATAATCGAACTGCACCGGATAATCATCCCTTTTATAGACACCATCTTCTCAATATCTGGTCAAAGTAGAACACAGTATAAGACAGAAAATTGGCACACCAGAAAGGGCAAAAGACAGAAAACCTCAAACTAACCAGATGGGTTGAGATTTCTCAGTGAAATTGAGCTCCTGAGGTTGAAAATCCTTGCTTGTATATGCTTCTCGAATAGTGGATTGATTCTACTGACCATATCCATCAAGACAATATCAAAAATGGCTAAAACCTCAAGTGGGTACCTTACCATTTTGGTATAGAGATCGCTATCATAATCGTAAACATCCTGCGCGTCAACATCAAGTGACTCGCCTTCGATTTCAATGACATGGTTAATAGCCTGCATGTATTTCCCTTCGATCTGCTGCGGGTTTTCACGGAAATGCCTCAAAAACCTCAAAATAGCCGCATTCACATCTTGAACACTGATATTAGTGCCCCA